TTAGACAGTTAAAAACCAAGACTGACTGTCTACCTGTTTTAGGCAAAACAGAATTCTAAGGAAAACAGCTTTTGACAATTTTTTTATAGAATTCTTTATTGGCCAAGTGTGATTCACTGTCTACCTGTTTTAGGCAAAACAGAATTCTAAGGAAAACAGCTTTTGACAATTTTTTTATAGAATTCTTTATTGGCCAAGTGTGATTCACTGTCTACCTGTTTTAGGCAAAACAGAATTCTAAGGAAAACAGCTTTTGACAATTTTTTTATAGAATTCTTTATTGGCCAAGTGTGATTCACTGTCTACCTGTTTTAGGCAAAACAGAATTCTAAGGAAAACAGCTTTTGACAATTTTTTTATAGAATTCTTTATTGGCCAAGTGTGATTCACTGTCTACCTGTTTTAGGCAAAACAGAATTCTAAGGAAAACAGCTTTTGACAATTTTTTTATAGAATTCTTTATTGGCCAAGTGTGATTCACTGTCTACCTGTTTTAGGCAAAACAGAATTCTAAGGAAAACAGCTTTTGACAATTTAACAAAGTCAATAATAATAATAATAGGATACTAAATAAGCAAACAACATAAATCGTAATAGGATACAAAATGAAGGCAATCAACATAACTCATGACATACAAACAACAGAGTTATAGTTATAAGAAGCTAAGGAAAGAGGTATTAGGAAAGAGGAAAAGATCAGAAGGATAATAATAATACACGCCTACTAGGTGGGTTGATATCCCAGGGCATAGACAGTGTTGTGGGAATTAGTTGTTTAACAGAGTGATAGCATGGGGAGAAAAACTATCTTTGTGTCTGATTGTTTTGGTGTGCAACACCCTATAGAATTGCCTTGAGGGAATTGAAACACTGTCCAACTAAATATGTTATATTAAAAATATTTTCAAAACAAGAAATTGAGTTTAAATGGAAGCCAGCATGTAAAAATTAGCTTCTTGGGATTTGTCTGTTTTTATTATAACCATCACTCAAATTTCTTGGAAATTAAAATCAGAACAAATTCAAACAATGAGTATAATGGACAATGACTACCAAAGCTACAAGGATATTCTGCTTATTTTTGGTTCTCTTTTAATGAATGGCCCAACCAACCTGATAGGGATGGTTTCTTATTAGTTATATTATTCTTAGAACATGGTTATTTTGGGATTTTAATTTTAAAAAATTGTAATGGGTCCAGAAGATGAATTTAATTTTTTTAATTCTTCCATTTCTTTTTACAGAATTTTTATACTGAAAAATATATCCATATTAGGCACATTTCTTGCATGTAAATGACTTTAGTTTGATACCATTCCTGATGGCTTTTAGACAAATGTCAGTTTTCCCTCCTATGATATAAGCTGGATGAATGAACAGGGATTTTTGTAGATAAGTAAAGGCTCGTACTTACCAGATCTAAACTTTGAAGTTTAAATCCATAGACAGCTCCCCGTTTACTGCTATTCATATAGTTGCCCAGAGCCAAGATTATCTATAGGTATCATAAGAGATGGGGAAAAAATAATTATCAGCTAAAGTTGAAATTGGCTACTTGAAATGAAACACAAATATAAAGCTCAAAAGATAGCAGCAAAAATTAGACTTACCTCTAATATTTTTTTGAGTTTCTGAGAAGACTTTATGGAGACAGATGCTGCAATAATTGCATGTAATTGCTAAAGGCAAAAACAGGAAATAGGGTGAACATCCTTAAAAACTCAGCAAGTGCAAATTAAAACAAAACACTTGGAGAATTCTACAACAGGGAGTGAATTTCAAGTAAGCCACTTTTCAAGGTAGAGTTAAGCAATGTGTTCAAGATCCTTATGTTTTCTTTTCTTGTTCCTTAGATTTCTTCTTGTCCATGTTTGTTCCAATTTTCAAGACTTTAGCAAGAAAGGGCAGGAATAACACAATGCAAATACTGTAGAACCTCTCACACAAGAAACTGCACCTAATCATGCAATTATTAGTTAGGCGCAATCAACTTGGACTCCATAGTAACTTCACTGAAAAATGTCTGCCGACTTGACATATTGCTAGTAATGATTGTAGCTCTCCCAACTGTAATCTTTTTCAAACCATCCCTGCTTCTTAGCTATTGTTTCCTCCTTCTACTTCTCTCAAAATTTCTAAGCATAGCTAGTTTTCCCAGTTCATCATGTACACATATCACATGTACCAGGATCTGATGTATCTAATGTAAGCAATGATACCTAATGCAATTGTCTCAATGCAGCTATATTTGTGGCTAACAGTGGCTAGAGATGAGCAGTAAAGCAGGAAATAAGATCAAACCACCTCCAATAAGCGTATTCGAGATACCCGCTCAAAAATGTAGGCCTAAAAATGTATGGGTAGTTCTCATTTAGCAACTGCATCACACAGTGACTGTTCACAGTTACAATGGTTATCAAAAAATGAAATTATGTGATGAGTTCCTGCATTTGCAACCTTTGCAGGTCTACAGAGCCAAGGAAAGCTGAAATATGATTGTAAAACTGTGGTGTTTCATTATGTGTCCGTTTCACTTCATGATTGATTGCTGGGCCCAACTGTGGTCACTAAATGAGGATTACCTGTAAACCTAACTCTGAGAATTAAGTTGTAGTCCTTTCCCTTTGTAAAACAGAGCTCTGATCCACATCTTACTCACCGGTGTGAGCATCTGTATGCTTTCAGTAAAGTTGCCAACGAATGCCATGATGGTCATTTTCTGCATCAGCCTTTCTATTTTGCTGAACTGCATCATAAACCGATCCTCATCTGTCAGATTCTCAAAGGGCTTCCTTTCCCGCTCATACAACCGCAACACTTTCACTTCATTTTCTGTTGGCAGGAATCTCATCAGGCATTCAACAAAATCTACAGGCAGCGTCTTCAAATCAAATCTGGCAATACAACACAATGCAATACCATTTAAGTTCTACGAAATGAGCATCAGAAGTACATCCTTAAATATTTTGCCTGAGGGTACAACATAACCACACAGTTTTCATAAACGTTTCAAATTACTGAAGTTATTGTGGGTCCCTACATTTCCCAAATATTTCCCTTTGAAATATTTGTAAAATGTATATGTGGTAAGCTGGAGTACAGAAGTGTTTTCTGGAAAGAGATCTGGCTAAATTCCACATTCCTGGAAAGATTGCAAAGAAATTCTGTAAGCTAAGCTCATAAATGGCTCTTAAGATAAGCATTGTGCTGAATTTTGATTTGCAAGTGACATTCAGATACAATAATGGACCATTTAATCACTAATTGGTAGCCAGCTGAGCCAGCTGAACATTTGAAGATGCAACCTATGCACAGTAATAATGAATCACATATGCACAATGCCAGTGTACATTTGTTCAAGATACTTGGACCACATTCAAATAATATGCAAAGAACAACACTCTCTTCATTTCCTTAATAGCTACCATATTTCTTTCAAACTGGTATTTAACTTGCCGCTAAGAATGGAAATTTTGCATGACAAGCATTATAGATGAATCCATATGATGTTCTTCAAAACAAAACAAAAAATACCAATTGAATATTATAGTAAAACAGGTCAGTTTTTTTCCTGCTTTTGTGGCATATGTATATTGGCCCTCTGCAGCTTAACACCTAAGTGTATCCCAAGGACCTTAAGGAGCTGAAGCCACAAACAGTGTGTGTAGACTTGGAGCTTTAGAATAAAGAAAAAAATTCTGAGTGACAGTCACTAACCTATGGAATATAAAACAAGCAAACCTTGGATCTATTCTAGTTGCACAAATGCTGCTTGGCAGTTCATGTATTTAAAATTGTGTATAAAATCTTTTCACTTACGCTTGAATAGCTTTACATATTTCATCGGCAGTCTTTCCAGCTTTTCTTAAGGTGATAGCAAGATTTTTAGCTCTATTTGCCTCCAGAAGCGTGACTTTGTTTGATCCTTTCTGAGTTATTTGCTTGCTTGAAGAAAGGTCGATGGCTGGCCCTTGGGCTTTTGTCTTGAATATTTCTTCAAATTCATCCACGTTTAAATCCTAAAAGAGACATATATATATATATATTTAGAAAGGACAACCTGGGAAACAAAAATCTTATAAAATGCATCTGTAAAAAGCAAAAGGGGTCCAATTATATGAACATCTGTACAGCTCAAAGTAAAAACACCAAGACACTCAATTCCTCATCTAATACACTTATCACCAGTCGTGTGAATTTAGGTCACACTTCTGCATCACAGGATAAAACAAAGATGACTTCTTAAGCAAAAAAATGAAAGCTGGCTCCAAGGGTTCAGTTAGAAACAAACCTAACCCTAACTAGACCAGGGATGGGTTCCGGCAGTCACTACTGCTGGTTCGTTTCTGGCTGCTTTGCGCGTGCGCGCTTGATGCATACTGTGCACAGTGCAATAAAAAAAAATCCAAGATGGTGGTCCCTACAGCACCACCCGGAGAGTCAGTTTGGGGGCGTGGCAGGCCTGGGTCTCTGCCGGTTCCAGCAACCCAGGCCACCAAACCACTACCGGTTCGGCCGAACTAGTCTGAACTGGTAGGAACCCACCACTGAACTAGACCTAAAGCAAAACATTCAAGTATCCAAACAAGTAGGGGTAAAGATGCAGATATGGACAGAAGAACATACATTTAAAATACAATAAAATTGGGTATTTTCTTTAGATAACAATGAAACACTTAAAATCTTCTAAATGCATGTGGGAAAATCTACAATAGCAAATCAAAATCATTCTACTTCAACAAGAGGCAATACTGCCTATTAGTCCTCCTGGAGCCCCTCTCCTCTAGATATTCAAAGCACAACAATGTTGAAGGCTCATACCTCCAAGATCCTTTCATCATCAATTTCATTGAAAACGGTCCCATTGATCTGGTTCGGTTTCAGAGCCACCCAGTTAAATACTGGCATGCGGAACTTGGTCTTAATTGGCTTCTTGATTTTCACAGCTTAAAAGAAGAGAACAGTGCAATTACACATTTCAGAAATTCAATCAAAAACCTCTTCAACCATTACAGTTATTACTGGGGAGCAGGGAGGCGGCATTTTAACATTGAAAAACATCTAGCCAACAATGAAAAAAATATTCTAAGAATCCATACTGATTAGACTCTCTTGGAAAAATTTTAAAAAAGCAGGGAGAAAGATTTCAAGTCAGTAACTGACTTCTGAGATGATAATTCATATCAAAATTTGGCAACAAGCATATAAAAAAAATTGCATACTTTTTTTCCCTACTAGCTGTCATGAACCGCAATCTAATGCCCACTTTTACCTAAAAATAAATCCAGATAAATTCAAGAGAACTCACTTCTAATTAGGCATGCACAGGGTTGCATATTGGAACGCACAAATAGCTTAATCACTGCAAAGTATATATGATTCATGATTTCCTGCCCATGTGATTTTACTCCATTCTCATTCTGACCCCCTTAAAATTAAAACTCCAAACAAAATGCCTTTTGGGGAGGGAGATTAATCTCACTGTCTGAGGAAGAATTATAATCCCTTTATTTAAAAGTTACAGACACTGCATCTGAAGCTTTTAGTCGTGGCTAAATTAAGACTGATAGGAAGGGATAAGGGCTGCTGCAAAGCATTTAGAAGCTGTAAACCGTGATTGCCCAGGTGTTTTAAGAATAAGTCCCACATATAAACACTACTTGGTTTATAGGAAACAATCTAGGGATTGACATTTTCAGACTGATTAGGGACTCAGCCATGTAATTACAATGATTGAGCAGCACATTATGCAAATGTGACATATAATGACTTAAGCCTATTATGACACTAATTGTGTTAAAGACACACATTTGCAAAGATAGAAATGCAATTGTCTGATTCCTCCCATCTCTAAAAAACAGAAAGGAATTTACAGGTCCAGTTCAGACATTTTCAGATGAACCTTGAAATGGGGACCTTCAGAATTACATACATTATCCCACCCATGTAAACGGTACCTGAAATTTGACGTGTGTATTAGGAAAAAAGTATTGCTGCCCAATTTAAACAAGCCAGGATTTTGTATTCTAAATGGTGATTTATCACACACACAAATCTAAATTCAAGTAGGGGAAATGTGATATTCAGGCACACCTTCACCATTTCTGGGAAAATGCAGGGATAGCAAGAATAGGAAAATGGACCAAGCTGATGCACAGAATCAGGGGTTTCTGGTTTTCCACCACAATTCTTTTTGAGGGTGGTGGAACACAGCTATGTAATCTTTTTAACATTCTGGGGATTGGTGTAAGACCTGAACAACTAAAGGCAGCTCTTTCCTCACCTATCTGCTAAGATTAACTCAACTCCCTCTTGAAGGTATTTTCGCCTGAAGGAGAATGAGTCTGTACTCTATGGCATAACACTTCAAGATTTCTCTTTTATGGGGGAAGGGGGGATAAATCCCATTGATATTTTATTCCAAGAAACAACTAATATTTCTCAGGATTTGTAGTGGTCTTAATTAGCAAATTGAGTGTTGGTGTTAGGAAAATAACAGCATTCTGTAAGCACCTGTGAAAAGGAAAATCTACCAGGGCAGCATTCTTAACTTTCCCATGGAGCGTGCTCTTCAAAGCTCTTTTTCTACAACCTTACAAATACTGTAAAGTGAAAAGTTCCAGCTAATGCCCCTTTGATAAGAGAAATAAAATTTGGCCAAGTCATGGTTTCTACGTTCAAGGTTTCCATGTTGAATAAAAACAAAATACCCTTACCCCAGATGAGATACCCTAAAAGCAATGGCTCCTTAACATTAAAAAAAACTACCTATTTAAAGTGAAAATGCCAAGAACTCATTCTGGGATCTTCCAATAGGAAGAATACCATATTTTGAGCATATGCAAAATAATTTAGAAAAATGCTTGATAATAGTACATAACGTGTCAACATTACATAAACATGATATTAATATTTCTTGTCTGTTTACAATAGAATAGTAAATGTATCCATAATTCTAGTATATATTATTACACCATAGACCTCTGACATAAATACGTAGCATTTGTATATTAAATTTTATGTGTAGATTCGATGCAAGACCAATCATGTCTATAGAGGGCAGACAAAGTAATAAGTTAAAGAAGCCAGTAAAACAAACAACCTGTAGGAATGGTTTGTTGCACAAAGAAAATATACATATGTTTTGATCACCAGACAACATGAAGATAATGGCTTTATGAAATTTATAGTATGGATAATATTTTACATAATGCAAACCACCTCATGCTTTTAGATAAGGCAAAAAACCCCACCACACATACCCACAAAGAATGCTGCATTTCAGAACTGAAGCTGAAAAATTACTTCAGAAAGTTTCTGGGCACCTTTTGCTCCAATTGCCACCTCCTTAAAGAAACAGTATGTTTTCCTGGGCTCCCTTTGTAGTTCTGTAGCCTACATAAAAGCATATCAGACCTAAGGAGGCACCTTAAGGGTGTGACAAGGTGCTTTGGAATGAGTGTTAATGCTCTGTTGGTGACCCTTAACTCAGATATGTGCTTTTTTGGAATTGCATGGCTATAGTGTAAGCCCAGCGGAAAATCCTGCTTTTATAAGGAGCTGCTAACAGGAATATCACACATGCCCATACCAAACTGTCTTTTCAGCTTTTTATCTGAAACCGAGCACATCCATAATGACAACATATGTGCATGCATGTACACTACATACATGTGCGTGCAAAACATAACAGGGCAGAAAAGAGAGGTATTAGAAAACAAGGTAAAATACTTAACAAGAAGGAACCTACAGAAAAGCTTGATTGGCCCATCTTAAAGTGAAGCAAAGGGGATAAAGAAGAAAAGGGTTAGCAGTAATCAAAATTAGAGGGGCGTTTAATTTTTTTTTATTTAAACAAAACAATGAAATGACTTTTTCATGTATTACTATTTTTCTACCTAGAAATAATTTTATTCATTGTTATTTAATTTTTCCCTGTCTTGTAATCTGGCTAACAGGAGTACAAGCAAATAAAAAACCAAAATACAAAACATAGAAAACATAAATGTTAAGTATGTATTACACCCAATTAACAATTACAAACCTGTCGCATCTCTTTGGGTTTTTTAATACCACAAAATTGGCTCAGAGGTGGCTGCTAAAGGTATGTAAGGGTGTGTGTGTGTGTGTAGAGATCTGTGTGTGTTTTACTTAATCTACCTTCAAAGCAAAGATAGGGAACCAGACCAAGCTCATCATTCTTGACAATAGCCATTTGACCAGAGTATAATGGGAGTTAAAGTAACTTTTGGAGGGCTCCAGCATGTTACCCATCCACTCATGTTTAGGGCAAAGTGTATTTTTTTGCATCACGGTATCTTAATATGTTGCCCTGACACTCAATGACGCAGGGGCCTCTCAAGAATCTTCTTCTGATGTCCCCTAAGCAGGCAACACAAGACATCCATCCACTCTTTTTTCTTTTGGCAGTTTAGCTATTAAAAAACATTTAGCTTAAAATACTATAACAGCAATTAAGCTCCATCAGATGAACCGGTCCTTCTACCAATATCTACCCTAAACAATCCTCTTTTGTGCATGGGCCTTGGAAAACAGAAGGCTCAAATATTTTGAATTAAAGTTCTTAATAGGTGTCATTTTCAAAAATACAAGTGTTCCATCTACACCAAAAAGAGGCAGCGACGTTTATGAATTCTTGGAGCTCTTTTCCTATTCATGAGCTTTTGCCCCAGGGGCTGAATAGATTTCAATGGGCCAATCTGAGTTACACTTTGGTCTCTTCCAAGTCACACCGGACACAAAGAAACTGTATTAATTATAGCAAAGACAATACAGCATTGGCAGGGTGGCTGGTCATCAGATTTAAAGGGAGGACTGTGACTACCGATTAAACCAAGTCAATGGCTGCAAGCTGAGTGGGAGACGGGGGACTGGAATTGGGTGAATAGAATTGCCCAGACAATAAGATTTTTTTTCAGAACCTGGAACTGAATGCCTATTGCCAAGTGCACATATACTATCAGAAGGTGAACATGTGTAGACGTTGGATAAAGTCCAAGAGAAAGCACTTACTAAGAGAACATGTATTTGGCTAGCTGAAGTTGCCATGGTGTCAAATTAATACCCCAATGGAGTAGAGGCACCCAAATGGTTTTACGTAAGACTATCACAAAACTCTAAAAACATAAAACATGTCAGTTCCATGTCCAAAAAGAAAAAAAAATAGAACTGGGTCCTACTGCAATCTTTAATTTTCTTTTAATTCTTTCATGGCACCAATCTATACAGTACAATCTATATTTACTCATTTGATTATCTTCATTCACAAGCAGTGTCATTTTCGANATATATATATATATATAAAATGTATACTGTAACATTATCACTACTAAAATAATGAAAGATCAACTCCATTCAAAGTATTATATATGTTACAAACAGAAAATCAAAGAGGCAGAGGGCAAGGTGATGGCAAATGACATTAACAAAAAGAAATAGCTTGTAAGAAGTATATTTCTGAGCCTCTGTACCAGCACTGTGTTACTCTTCCTCAGCTTCTGCCGAAGTAAAGTTTGTTTTCAAAGCACCGTGACGGCAAATATTTTCATCTAGCATTGATGAAATAAGTTCTTATGAGGCAGACTTTTTCTGGGATGTAAAGCTGGGTGTTGGGAGTGACATACATTCAGAATTATGAGAAAGCATGGACAATTTACCAGCCAAAGCATTTGTAAATCAGGAGTGTACAAATCTCATTTATCTGCATTGGCTTTTGGAGCTGCAGTACAGGGCCATATAATGAGTTTTAAAGAGTGGATGAGGATTAAAATATTTAATAGGAAGATACAATATTATATTTCTTATAAATGACATTATAAGGGATCCTTGGTGCCCTCTGGAGTTTTGTTGTTTTCTTGCAAATGGTTCATTACCTAAAATTAGGTAACATCCTCAGTGCTAGTCATCTAAAAAGGATGATGTTACC